TCCTCAAGATGATTCCCTTTTTTTTTTTTTTTTTTTTTGAGACAGAGTCTAGCACTGTTGCCCAGACTGTAATGCTGGAGTGTGATCTCGGCTCACTGCAATCTGTGCCTCCTGGGTTCAAGCAATTCTCCTGCTGCCTCAGCCTCCCCAGTAGATGGGACTACAGGCGTGTATTGCCTCGCCCAGCTAATTTTTTCATATTTTTAATAGAGATGGGGTTTCACCATGTTGGCCTGAATGGTCTTGATCTCCTGACCACGTGATCCTCCTGCCTCAGCCTCCCAAAGTACTGGGATTACAGGCGTGAGCCATCGCATCTGGCCAAGATGATCCCTTTTTAAATTATGGTCCTTTTAAAGATAGCTGGAAAATCAGTCTAGAAGGGGAATGACTCCCTAAATATTCTGCACCTAAACTTTTTATATGTCTCTGTAGCCTAGACGTAGTGTTGGCTTGTCGGTTGCAAGTGAATATTCTATTCTAGAATTGTAGCCATGTGAATTTAGAGACATCTACAGACCTAGCTCTAAATGAGTAAAACAAGCTAAAACAGAAGAGGAAGACTTTTAATCAAAATGTGAAAGTATGCTAACTTGTTTCAGGCTTTATTTGGTTTATTATATGCCACTGAAACTTTAGATCAATCCAGTGTCACTCTTTCCTTCCTTCAACAAATGTAAATATAACAATGAACAAGAGAGATAAGATACCTCATGCTGCTGAAATTCTAATGCAGGGAGACAAACAACAAGCAAGTATTTTAATACATATATGTCAAATGATTATAAGTACATAAAGAAAAATAAGGCAGGGGAATGAGATGGTGACTGAGAGGGGAAAGGGTCAAGATTCTCTCAGGAGGAGAGACCAGAATAAAATGAGGGCATGAACCATGAGGATATTTTGGGGAGAAGTGGTTCAGGCAGAGGAAACAGCAAGGGCAAATGTCCCTAGGCAGGCACACACTTGACCTGTTCTAAGAACAGCAAAAGGCCTATGTGGATGGAGCAGGGTGAGCAGGAGGGGATGTAAACAGAGGTGTGGAAAAGCTAGATAATCTAACTGAGGCCACAATAAGGACTTCAGTATTAATTCTAAGGAAGGTGGGGCGCCCCAGAGGGCACTAGCAAAGAAGTGACATGTTTTCTTATTTACCACTCCAGGGACTTTTAATGTTGAATGCCTTACAACTGATCACTACACAGGCGGCATGAAGCAAACATATACTGTGAAAAAATGCAGACAGCAGTCTGAGGATTCTACCTTCTACCTGGGAGAGAAGACATACTATATTGCAGCAGTGGAGGTGGAATGGGATTATTCCCCACAAAGGAAGTGGGAAAAGCAGCTGCATCATTTACAAGAGCAAAAGTAATTCTCCAGACTCTGATTCCCAATTTCTGTTGTAATTTTAAGTTTCCTTTTCAGAGAAGTAAGAATTACACCAAATTTTCTAAAAAAAAAAAGAAAAAAGAAAACAGTTGCATTAAACAATAACAACCAAAATAACAACAAAACACTTCCTAGGAACTTGTCCTCATTCATTTCTGCTTCTCTCAATTTCCTCAAGGGAAAATTTCCATGTATCTCCTTTGATCCTTTGGAATCTTGCTTTCTTCTCTACTGGAGTGTCTTCTCACATTCATGTGCCCTCTTGTTGCCATTTATTTTCAAACTTAACAAAAATTAATGACCAAATTCAGAGAAGAAATATTATTCCCCTTACCATTTGTTATTTTTTCTTCAAAGATTTCATTGTTAGTCTAACAATCAGTCATTTCACATTCTTAAAACTATTATGTATGGAATATTTTAAATGCTTGAAGGTGATGTAGCTGATATGATTCTCTACCCTCTAAGAACTTACAGGAAAAAATGGCACAAAATTCCCAGTAACATGTGCATTATGAAAAAGTACAAAATAAATTCTGTATGAATAGATGTAAGTAACTATTAGAGCTTCAGAAACATTAACTTAGAACAGCATCACTCATTACTTCTAGTTAGTCCTTTTTTCATACTTTTCCAAGCACTTTCCTCTTCATCATCTCACTTACATTGTGCACTGACCACATGGAGATGATCTGAGGGACTAGGATGGGCAGGTGTTCAGATCCAGGGTGCACAGCACAACTGGTGACCTGTGGCTAGGAAGTGGCTACCTGGTTAGTTTTACAGCAGTACTGAGTATGATTTGCAGTGTGAAGAAGTAAAAGTTTATTTTGTAATTGGGGTAAAATGGTTAAAAGTCTCCAGGTGCCATTAGAAGTAAGTGAAAACTTCAGGAAAAGGGAATGCCTCAGAAAAGATGTCCATTTCAGTTCCTATAATCAGAAATATTGGACTCATCAAATTTTAAAGCTATAAAGAAATCTTAGAGATGATCTGTTCAAATATCTCATTTTAGGGATGAGAAAACTAAGGTTCCAACAGGCAGTGACTAGCTGGAGGAAATTTTCGCTAGTGGCAGGGTAGAGGCCAGGACTCAGATGGCTACACTCAAATGGCTAGGTGTGCTTTCTCCCACACATACTTTTAAGTCTTATTATTCTTTCTTACTTGGGTAGGAGACTGATGATTAAAAACTACTATAATTGCTCTAATAAAAACTATGTTTTTATTTAAAATTTAAAGTTTAAAACTTAAATTCCATTTTCATTAAGACAAATACTAACCTTAGTTTTTCTTTTTAAGTGTTTCCAATGCATTTTTAGATAAGGAAGAGTTTTACATAGGCTCAAAGTACAAGAAAGTTGTGTATCGACAGTATACTGATAGTACGTTCAGTGTTCCAGTGGAGAGAAAAGCAGAAGAAGAACATCTGGGAATTCTAGGTATGAAACTAGTTCCAGTTTGTCGCATGTGGTAGAACTGACTGTTACTGCAGGTAGCATCAAGATGTGATGCTACCTGCAGTAACAGTCAATTCATGTCTATGGGTTTCATTTTCTTGGTTCATATATCAAAGTTATTCAACTAAAACTTTAAAAATTAGTTATCTAATAAAATAAGACTTATGTTTACTAAATAATATGGCATAGTAAAATATTACTTCTCTTGGAAACAATGTATTATCCCATATACTAATGTATATCTATTTGGTTTTTATCAAATTGATGCTTTTAATTTTAGTGAAGTTCCCAGAAACTACTTTCTAATGACACTGTGTCTTTTGAGACAGAGTCTCACTCTGTCACCCAGTTTGGAGTACAGTGGCGCAGTCTCGACTCACTGCAACCACCCCCGCAGCCTGGGCCCAAGTGAATCTCACACTTCAGCCTCCCAAGTAGCTGGGACTACAGCATGAGCCACCATGTCCAGCTAATTTTTGTATTTTTAGTAGAGACGAGCTTTTGCCAGGTTGGCCAGGCTGGTCTCAAACTCCTGGCCTCAAGTGATCCACCCACCTCAGCCTCCCAAACTGCTGGGATTACAGGTGTGAGGCACCACACCTGGCCCTAATGAAATTCTTAACCAAATTCTCCCCATTATCCTACCTATTCCCGCCAAATTATAGCTATTTACTGGCTGGACATCCAACCCACCATAATTAGACCAGTACTCTGCAAAGGACTTTCAAGCCAAACCACCCCTAGAACTCTTAAGAGATAAACAAATGGTCTCCATCTTTATTTCCAGCGTCTTGATCCCAAATTCCCTGGGACCCAGTATAAATTCAAGAGGATTATAGCACAAACCCATGGGGAGATAAACAAGTCATCTTTGCTAGTCTTTGCTTCTATTACTAAGTTAGACCTTCCAATTGGACAGGTATACAAGTCACTCTTTCTTTTCACTTTTGCCAGGTCCACAACTTCATGCAGATGTTAAAGACAAAGTCAACATTATCTTTAAAAACATGGCCACGAGACCCTACTCAATACATGCCCATGGGGTACAAACGGAGAGTTCTACAGTTATTGCAACATTACCAGGTACTCATGGTGGGGGGAAGCATTTTAACAGGCTGCACAGCCTTTCCACAGATTGCTCTCATCATAGAGAATCTGGACTGAGAAAGTGAAAAGGGAGGTAGCTGTGCCCGGGCGCAGTGGCTCACACCTGTAATCCCAGCACTTTGGGAGGCCGAGGCCGGTGGATCCTGAGGTCAAGAGATCAAGGCCATCCTGGCCAACATGGTGAAACCCTGTCTTTACTAAAAATACAAAAATTAGCTGGGCATGGTGGCGTGTGCCTGTAGTCCCAGCTACTCGGGAGGCTGAGGCAGGAGAATTGCTTGAACCTGAGAAGAGGAGGTTGCAGTGAGCCAAGAACACACCACTGCACTTCAGCCTGGTAACAGAGCAAGACACCGTCTCAAAAAAAAAAAAAAAAAAAGAAAAGAAAAGGGAAGAGGGGATGCAAGGAGGTGTATGCAAGTACACATATGCTCATACAAAAAAAAAAAGTCCACAGGAGAACTTAAGAGAAAAACCTGAAGGTAGGGGACATTTATGAATACTCAAGGGTGACTCAGAGAGATGCTGTCTCCTCACTCAGCTAGAACACAGCTCAGATGACATCTACCACACCGCATGTGGATGATGTTCCCACGTCTGTCTCCAGCACACGTGGTTTTAAGAACCAGAGGCTGCCATGTGGAACTCTAAATTCCCCCTATCTAGTCCAGGATCTGGCATGTATTAGGAGGTCATCAAATGTTTCTTTACTAAACACAGAGTAAAATTTTAAACAGATTATATACACAGGTGAACATTTTCTTTAATAAGAACCATATTTTTCTTCGATTAGTTGTAAAGATGGCTTCCAGGAAAAGACTATTTCTCAATAACCTAGCAGGGAGTAAGTAGCAAGGGTGCTATTTTAGGCAGAGTGGTCAGGAGGGCTTCCTTGAGGAGGTAGCATTGTTGAAAACACCTAAAGGTTGAGAAGTAATGAAATTCAGGTAATTGTGCAGGAAGAGATTCTAGGCCCCGAAGACAGGAGCATGCCTGGTGTGTTTGAGCAGCGCCAAGGCAGCCAGAGGCTAGATTAGGAGCACAGAATGCTAGAGGTGAGATCCAGGGAGAACAGGGGCCAGGTGGAGTAGGGAGGACTTCAGACTCAAGATTTAAGATTGATGTTCTGATGGATACTTTTTAAGGGGCTGTTTTGGCTGATGTGTGGTTAAGTGACCATACAGAGGCAAGGACAGAATCCAGGGTCAGTTAAGGACCATTGCAATAATCTGGGTAAAAAAATAATAATCATTGAGATTTGGAACATGGGGGAAGCAGCTGAAGTGGTGAGATGTCATCATATTCTGGTTCTATTTTAAAGGTGATGCCAAAAGGGCCTGCTGGAAAATGGGCACTAGGGAGTGTTAGGGAAGAGAGGAGTCAAGCGTGACCCTAAGGTTTTGGGCACTGACAGCTGGTGAAAGGGTGGGTTGTAAAGGGGTGTGGAAAAGAGAAGGAAATGTTATTTTGCAGCTTATGAGAATAAGTAAAAGCAGTGATGGCAAGACAGTAATATGTGCAGGTGGTGAATCCATATTTTATATTCTAGTGAAATTTTCTGCTTAGAAAATTTCAGGACATGGAACAGCTCAGCTTGAGGCTTGAAGAAAAAGTAAGATATCTACATCACTTGGGACCATCTCTCTTGTCTTGCTTAATTCCCTAGTAAATGTCTGTCGGACTCTGGCAGATTAGTATGACAGCATGCATATGTAATGGTGTGGTCTAAATGGGATGGACAGTGAGTGTGGTTGGGATTGGTGAGAGGGCATGGTCAAAAGTTGAGGTCTGGTGAGCAGTTGCACAGGAAATCCTGAGGTCACTGGAAATGCAGATCGGACTGGAGAAAAGCCCAGAGCACATAGGAAGAGGGTAAGAGCATTGGCAAAGTAGGAGGGTGAAGCAACTGGTCATCTTCAAAGTGCCAAGGCCCAGGGTGTGGTTATGTCCTGTATGTGGGAGTAGTGACAGAACAGCACATGGTGTGATAGAATGAGATGGACCAAAGGGGAGGTAAACAGAACTGCGGCAAGTCAGTGACTCATGAGATCATGAGGTCTAATGGCTCCTCGCCAGGAATCATGAGCTCACTAAGGATGATCATGAGAGAGGACGAGGAAAGGAAGGCCATGCTGAAGCTGAGGGAATTGCACAAAATAGTCCAGATACACACTGAGAAGATTACGGGAAAGGTGCCAGCCACTGACGAAAAAATAGCTTGATATCTGAAGAGAACGAAATATATTAGGAGAACATACTTCAAGCTAAGAAAAGATTGGTTGCAAAATTTCTTCAAATTTTAATACTGGAAGTGCACCTCCTAGCTTTGTGGTATGGTAAGTGGGTTAAAGTTAATTTATAATTAACCTAAAAAACGACAAAATTTTGTCTTACCATTTGTCTTAAAACTCAATTCTTGAAAACTTGTGAGTACCACAATTTTTTAAAACTAAAAAACTAATTACACTGACATTTCCAGTTCCTGGATCCTAGTTGTCAAGGGTGTGTGTGTGTGTGTGTGTGTGTGTGTGTGTGTGTGTGTGTGTAATGTAAACTAAATACAACCAGATCCGTTATCCACTAACACTTGATGAATTTAGGTGAAACTCGAACTTACGTATGGAAAATCCTAGAAAGATCTGGAGCTGGAGAAGAGGATTCTGCTTGTATTCCATGGGCTTACTATTCAACTGTGGATCAGGTTAAGGTAAAATGTAAATCATTTATGTTTTGTGACACTTCCCAAAATAGACACACAATTGAAGGAAGATGAGGTTAGCATTTTCCTGTGGTCTAATTCTATGTTAAAATCCTAGGAAAATGGCTGCTGTGTAATCCACTTCAGCAAATATACTGCTATCTATCTATGACACACAAGACAAAAATCTGAAATTTCCTAATAAGATACAGCTCAAAGGTCTTTCAAGATCATATTCGGGAAGTTTAGATTTTGTCTTGTGGGTCATAGGAAGCCACTGAAAAATTGACAAAGAATGGCAGCATAATTTGCATTTCAGATCATTCATTCTGGTGGAATGATGAAAGGCTTGGAGCGGGAAGAGACTGGAGGCTGAAAGGCCGTTGTAATACGTCTCAAGAACCTCTACTGTGTGGAGGGAGAAAAGAAATGGAATGAGTTATAGATAGGTGGGTGAACTGCCTGAGTGAACCAGGGGGAAGTAGCTCTTTGATAATTCAGAGTTCTGTCTCAAACAAATGAGTAAATCTGCTATTTGTGGTGTTATTATTATACATTTCACTCATCTATGGATTTCTTAGGGAGTGCCATAGTGCTTGGCTCACATTCAAGAGTTCATGAGTTTACGGAACAAACCAACACTGTTCATCTGGGATTCTTTTAAAATCACTGTTCATTAGCTGAGTTAAATTTTGCCTCTGCAGACATTTGTTATGTCAGCATCACTCACATGACCTACCTACTATTCAACATTGCTCCAATTTAACTACTTCAAATGAAAAGTTACTAAATTGGCAGTACCACACTGGGCAAAGTCTACTACTTCAATCGGTCGCTCCAGAATTCCTGAGGCCATGGGCGTAAAGTCTCAGTTCTCTGAAATCTTGATCTACATCACAAGGGTTACTGAAGATTTTCCTTGTTTCTAGGATCTCTACAGTGGATTAATTGGCCCACTGATTGTTTGTCGAAAACATTACTTGAAAGTGTTCAATCCCAGGAAGAAACTGGAATTTGTCCTTCTGTTTCTAGTTTTTGATGAGAATGAATCTTGGTACTTAGATGACAACATCAAAACATACTCTGATCACCCTGAGAAAGTAAACAAAGATGATGAGGAATTCATAGAAAGCAATAAAATGCATGGTATGTTACATGATTCTAAAACCATTTTTCTACTTTTTTTATCCATTTCTCTTTCAAATAAAATTATATTGGATACTAATTTGTTTTGTCATAAACCACTTCTGCCTCACTTTGTATGTGAGGTAGAATTCTGTTCAAAACAAAAAGGGGGCTATGTTCAAAATCATTTGCTAATTTATTTTCCAATTCCAAAATCTCATTTCCTTTTAAATAATCCTTAAGATTAAGGCTTTTGGTGCAAAGTGCTAGAAAAGCAGTGTGTGATATTATTGACTTTAAAGTATCCATTTTCCTCATTTGTAGTAAAATAAATTTTATTACATCAAAAATATTCTTTACATTGACTTAATAATCATATTTTCTTTGAAAGAGCTATTGGTTTAAAATATCTTGAAAACTAATATAAAACCATATGCTTTCCCCAGCTATTAATGGAAGAATGTTTGGAAACCTACAAGGCCTCACAATGCATGTGGGAGATGAGGTCAACTGGTATCTTATGGGAATGGGCAATGAAATAGACTTACACACTGTACATTTTCATGGCCATAGCTTCCGATACAAGGTAAGAGCCATCCATGGCAATTACTCTTGCTCTATTTGAAAATGTTTTAATACAAGTGAAGGAAATATTTCCTCAGAGAAACTTATGAAAAATTGAAAGCTGCAAAGACTACAGCTGGCCCTTTGTATCTATGGATTCCCCATCCAGGATTCAATCATGGATTGAAAATATACAGGAAGGTCAAGTGCGGTGCCTCATGCCTGTAATCTCAGCACCCTGGGAGGCCGAGGCAGGTGGATCACCTGAGGTCAGGAGTTTGAAACCAGCCTGGCCAACATGGTGAAACCCTGTTTCTACTAAAAATACAAAAATTAGCCAGACATGGTGGCAGGCATGTGTAATCCCAGCTACTCGGGAGGTTGAGGCAGGAGAATTGCTTGAACCCAGGAGAAGGAGATTTCAGTGAGGCAAGATCGTGCCATTGCACTCTAGCCTGGGTGATGAGCAAAACTCCGTCTAAAAAAAAAAAAAAGAAAAAGAAAAAACATATATACAGGAAAAAAATTTCCACAAAGTTCCAAAAAGAAAAATTTGTATTTGCAGCACTGAGTACTACATTGAATCCATGCAAATGAAGAGATATGTAGGCATTGTATTAGGTATTATAATAATCTAGATATGATTTGAAGTATATGGAAGGATATGCATAAGTTATATGGAAATATGCCGTTTTACTTAAGGGACTTGAGCATCCATGGATTTCGGTATGGGGGCATTCCTGAAAACAATCCCCCATAGATACTGAGAGATGACTATAATAGGGCACAGCAATTTCAACTGACACACCAGCCTTTGTTACACCTTGAGCTCTTCCTGGGATTTGCATTTTTAACTGAATTTTCATGGAGTTCTGCTCACACATTCCTGAGTAAGGAAACTGAATGGAATTGCTAACAAAGAGGGTAGGAGTGTTCACATAATGATGGATGAGAGTAGAGACCGCAAGACTTTATCATAACCTTTGCCCTGTGTGTTCTAAGTTCTGTATCTCAAATGGCCCAAGATGAGCAAGATCAGTTGGGTGACAAGCAGTTGGTCGATACATCTCAATCCTACTTCTATTCTTTCTCGGTGCTGATTTCAGCAGAAGCCAGTGGCCCTCCTGGAAATGCTTTTTCCTTATGCTTTGGGCTAATTTAGAAAATGCAGAAGTTATCAAAAAGCATAGTGCAGAAAGCCTGTTTTTTATCTCCATTTTGTTTTACATAGATATATAGTATTCTTAGAGGACTTTTAATTCTATCCTTGTAGAAATAGACTGCTGTCACCTACTTCAGGCACTGCCTGAAATGCCTCTGGTTTTTGTCTTTTTCATCAGCCTCCTTTTCTGCTTCCTTTGTTTATTTATTTATTTGAGACTGAGTCTCACTCTGTCACCCAGGCTGGAGTGCAGTGGTGCGATCTTGCCTCACTGCAACCTCCGTCTCCTAGGTTCAGGTAATTCTCCTGCCTCAGCCTCCCGAGTAGCTGGGACTACAGGCATATGCCACCATGCCTGGCTAATTTTTGTATTTTTAGTGGAGATGGGATTTCACCATATTGGCCAGGCTGGTCTTGAACTCCTGACCTTGTGGCCCGCCCACCTCGGCCTCCCAAAGTGGTGCAATTACAGGCGTGAGCCACTGCACCCGGCTACTTCACTTTTTTAACTTGATTTAAAGCTTCACAGACAAACTAGGATAGATTCAGGCAAAAGAGAGGCAAGGGCTAAAATGGGGCCACACCTGAGTGCCTTTTGTGTAGCTTAAATGCTATGACAAACAGGCAAACCAGAGTTGAGGTACAGGAGGTTTGTGGGTAGTCCTGATTGATGAATTCATTCTCATCACATCTTTCTTTCACACCCACTTGATGTGGATACCAAGAACTTAGTAAGAATACAAAAAACACATTTTACCGTTTGTATTAAACACAAAAACGAGCTCAATTATTGTAAACAGATTTATCCATCCTTTCAATATCCCTGAGCTGACCAATAACAAATGACATGAGTGAACTCTTGTATATAATATTATACATTATTTGTCATTTTTCTAATTAAGCACAGGGGCATTTATAGTTCTGATGTCTTTGACATTTTCCCTGGAACATACCAAACCCTAGAAATGTTTCCAAGAACACCTGGAATCTGGTTACTCCACTGCCATGTGACTGACCACATTCATGCTGGAATGGAAACAACTTACACCGTTCTACAAAATAAAGGTGAATATCCAGGTGGTAATTCTAGAAGCCATATATAGTAAATATAATCAAAGGAACTACTTTGCCTAAATACTTCCCCCAACATGAAGCATCAATATGAAGCATCTGTGAATCTGCTGCCCTGATTTCTTCTCTACCTCCAAAATGGATTTTTTTTTTACTGCTAAATGGTGAGAGATACTGCTAATTTCCTGATAGCCAGTACTTTTAACAGCAACTGTCATTTCTAAGCTAATACAAATTGACACCCATTTGATGCAGTGTAATTATACCTAAAGCTGATATAAGGGAGGAGTCATGTTACTTATTTACCAAGAAACAAACCATTATTTACATAAGACACATTTAGAATCTAATTTCTTTCTTAACAAAAAGGATTTTTTTTTCTAGGTGGCACCTCTGTGTAAGAGAAGCCCAAGACAACCCCAAATAATATAGTTTCAAATAGGCAGTGTCTTTCTGTGCATCCAAGAAGGAGAGATCTTATTATTATTTGTGAAAGATGCAGGGAAGAAACAATTTAAATGTACTGCTCCCCAACCCGTGCAATAACCTTCCCCATGTGTAGATACACACACATACACTTGAAGAAAAATGAACAGTTTATTATTATTATTATTATTATTATTATTATTATAAGATTCCTGCACTGTGGCTGCAGGCTTTGGTCTTTCCTGATCTGTTGAGTTGAGAATTGTTGTAATTGGAAATGGCAAACCCAACAGGAGGAAATTACGTAAAGAAAACCAATCTATGTCTTTCCTCCCCAAAATGGGGGGAAAAGGGAACATACAAATGAAGAAAATATAAATGTAAATATATTTCAAGATTAAGAAGCCCTGAAAGGTTAACCTTCAGTGCAAATGAAAAGTTTTAATTTCTGCTCCTGGGTCTTACACAAACAACTTATATCATGAAAAACTATTTCCATTAATGCTCTTTTTATTAGAGCAGTCACTGATAACACCAGAATATCAAAGGCTCACAGACAAGCCACTTAATTTAATGCCAATAACTTGAACAAGGTGAAAAGAGCCAAATATGATGAGAAAGAAAAATTTAACACTAGTAAACCATGTGGTTACATGTGCTTGCATGTAAACCACACAAAAGGGTGGTCCTGCTAGAAAAATAATGGCGAGTAAGGGAACATGGAGGCATTGGGGGAATGCATGTGTGCAAATGCCTGGCATGTGCAGTATGATACTACAGGGCAACCGTACACACACAGACACAGATTAGATTCCTCCTGTGTAACAACCATGAAAGAAGACGGAGATTACTGCTTGGTTAAGAAAGGGGAGATAGTTTTTAAAGCCATAGGAAAAATTACAGAACAAACAGCAAATATGGAGGGAAAATCAACACTGGACAAAAAATTAAAGAGAAACTTAACTTTTGCAAAGAGAAAAGGTATTGCATGAGACTGTAAGAAGCAGTAACGAATAAAAAAAGATAGTTTGAACTCTCTTTGGCCCATAAAATCAGTAGCCATGTTTATCAGTCTGAATTATCTTTACATAAGTCCAATCAAGCTTTGAGCAAGTTTACATTAATCAGGAGTCTTAGAAAAGTCTGCTTAGCTTTAAATTTCTAACAGGCAAGGACTATATATTCTGTATTCTGTATTTCTAGCTAAGTACCCAAATCCAGTACAATAGTTTGCTTACTGAATATATAACAACGTATTAATTCAATGAAGAGAAACTTTTGTAACTACTTTTTGACATAATTTCAGATTCCCATATACCTTTCACCGATTCCCCAAATGTTAATGATTTGTGCAGCCACACTGGCTTTCTCATTCTTCTTCCTATCTCCCTCTCATATTCACCCTCTATAAGTACACACACAGACATGTATAGATACATACAATTATCTTTCCTAAAAACAAGAATATTCTTGTACATGACAATACAATGATCAAAATCAGAAAATTAACAATGATTTAAAAAACGATAGATCTTTTTCAATTTTCACTAATAATCCTAATCATGTTCTTTATAGAAAAAGAAAATCCCAGATCACGTACTGTATTGTTGTCATGTCTTTTAAGTCTCCTTCTGAATGGTTCCTTAATACGGGGCAGTCACTTTGTAGAGTGTCCTTTCATTTGAGTTTGTCTAATGTTTCCTCATGATTAGATTTAGGTTCTGTACTTTTGAAGACTATCATGGCATGATGTTGTGTTTTTCTTAGTACACCATGTCAGGAGGCACAAGATAGTGATTGGTTCCATTACTGGTTATGTTAACTTCAGGCTTTGGTTAAGGTGGTGTCTGCCAAGTTTCTCCAATGTAATTGTATTCATGTTCCCTTTACAATTAATAAAGATCTTGTAGGAAGGAAAGTCATCTTTTTTTAAATAAAGCAGTAATAGAATGAGAAATTTTTAAACATATAAAAAGTAGAAAAATAAAAATGAATCAGGAATAAAGTAACACTAAAAAATTGGAATACATTTAGAGAACCATCTACTAATTTTTAAACCATATAATATATATTATTTTTCATAACAGTCTTAAAATTTCTTTTTCTATAGAGACCAGTATGGCTGGATGAAATAAATTGGTGATAAGTGGAAAAAAGAGAAAAACCAATGATTCATAACAATGTATGTGAAAGTATAAAATAGAATGTTACTTTGGAATGACTATAAACATTAAAAAAAGACTGAAAACATACAACTTTGTGCATTTGTGGGAGAATACTCTTAACTTTTTGCAAATGGAAAGATCAACAGACTATATATCGATACAGGACTGGCACCTATATACTAGGTAATAAAATTGATTCAGACAGTCTCATCATATCACCACTATTAGGGTTTTATAAAACTGCATTTTAAAAAAGATCTATGACCAGATATTCTCCTGGGTGGTCCTCAAAGGAGCACCATTAAGGTTCATTGAAATGTTTTCAATCATTGCCTTCCCATCAATCCTTCTAACATGCTGTTGACATCACACCTAATATTTAGAGGGAATGGGAATGCAAGGTATGAGGGAAGAAAATAAAAATAAAATAGGATGACGCAAATCAGTTTTGTGAACCCTTGAAGAGATGGTCTAAAGGATGTTATCTGGAACTGGAGAAAAGCAGAGTTGAGAGACAATTCCATAGCTTAAATTCTGTTAAGGATAAACATCACCATTAGAAGAAAAGCTTCAAAATACACCTGTGGCAGATGTCACAGGAGTAGAATTTCTGCCCAGCCTTAACTGCATTCAAAGGATAACATCAATGAACTGAACTTGAACTAAAAAATTTTTAAAGAAGTTAAAAAAGAAGGCAGATGGTTGTGAATACAATGATATATTTCTTTATTTTCACATACGCTGTAGCTAAAAGAGTAAGAGTACACATCAACAAAAAATGGAAACAAAGCTTTGGCTGAAAAAAGCATGCATTCGACAAATCATGTTAATAGCTAGACAAGAAGAAAGTTAGCTTTGTAAACGTTTACTTCATTTGATTCAAAGAGAAACAGTTTTCTTAAGGTAACAAGAAGAAAGCACGAGTTTTCTTAAGGTAACAAGAAAAGTAACCAAAAAAATGAGGTTTGAAATTTTTTACCACGGCAAAACATTAACATCTTTCTCAAAAGCATAGAGAAAACTGGAAAAATCAAGAAGATAAAATTCTGGGCCAGTTAGTGACATTGTTTCAAGCATACTTGCAAAACATTTCCTTAAAGTGTTCTTGGGACGGAAACGATTGTCATGTCTCCAATAACAGTGAACTGATGTTGTTCCTTGGAATAAAAGTCAATTTCTACCTTAAAAAAATATATGGTTTCTCTGAGGAATTCTTATGTCTTGAAGACTTTTTACATTCTAGACAATTAAACTGATTGAGGTCATAAATTAAGAAATGAATAGTCACCACTATATGGTAAGGTAAGCAGCCTGAAAGCACCTGCATCATACATGTGTGATATATACATATATATATTATATATATATAATATATATATAATATATATATATGATTACATATACATATGTGTGTAATCAAAATGCCTCTACTTGTACTTTGGCATTCAATTTTTGGAAATTCAGTCTCAAATGCCATTATGGTATTTTTCAAATGATACCTTTAAGTCAATGATTTCTTTCGACTGCAATAGAGAAGGTATGGCAAGAAAAATGCTGCAGTACCATCTTCTGGGAGAACATTCATGAAATCCTTCAGTTCTAGTTCCACAGCAACAATTGACAATGTTTCTGTTTGTAGAAAAGAGTATCTGAGTTAGAACTGAAAGTCTGTCTTACATTCAATCTCTCTTTCTTAACCAATTAGAAGCCAGTTCAGGTAAGAAAATGTTATAACTACAAAGAAAAAAAGTCAATCTCTTAAATCCATAGGCTTCTTTATGGTTTTAACTTATTTTTCCTTACTAGAATCCTTTGAAGTTTATTTTGTATCAGTCATATGAAATTTGGATTTATCATTTCATTACTCAATTACTGTATTATTTTGCAATCAACTTTCTACTATCCTCTAAAGAAAATTTTAATCATTTGAATACTTTTTTTTTTAAACTCTAAGACTATACTAATGCTAATTCATAAAGATTGTTTGATAGGATAAGAAACACCAATGTTTTTCCAAATTAGTTCCTTTTTATAATATTTCATGTTGCTAATAAGCACAAATCTGTTTTCATGACCATTTACTTCTTTTTACCCCAAAGTCTGAAGGTGTTCTAATGAACATTTTTAATATTAAGGAACTTAACAGACATTTAAAAAAAAAAAAAAAAACATGCAATTTTACGATTCTAGTGCTTCTTAACAGATACATGCTGCCCTCTCCTGGGACAGAAGAGTGACAGCTATGAACAATGTCCCAATAAACATCCACTTGGTCTTACATCTCTATCCACGTGTCAGTGCCATTCCCTGTGTGATATTTGCATGCCCATCATTTACTCTATTTGCAGAGTAAGTGAAATATAAGATCCACTCAAAGTCATCTGTCCAATATGCAGCAATCGA